AGCACAGATCATCCTGGAATGAAAAATTGGCAAACTGGGATTTCATTGTTCAGCATTATACAGGAGGCAAATTAATATCAACAACCTCACCAGTTTTGTTTTCCAATTATAATAATTTAAGTAATCATGTACCCTCTGCATAGGATGCTGGCAAAATCCTGCAATGGATTGAATCCAAATTAAAACTGAAAAATAGATAGAAATTCACGAACAGTTTCAATGTTGACTTCAGCAACAAGACTCTTGCTTAAACTGTCGGACAATCACAAGCAGCTCTAACACTTCCTTTCTCTTCCTGCAGAGCTGCTGTGCGAAGGCTTGTCCTTCCTCACAGATAAAGGTTTTCATAGTCGGTATGGACTCTGAAAACTCTACTCTTGGTCTTTGAACTTAATGCATCTTACAATTTTGGAGGTCTTTGAACCTCAAAGAGTTATTTGATGCATGGGGATGGGGAGGGGTGAACTGACAATTGACCTTTGAAGGCTACGCTCATTTAATTCATCCAGGGGTGCCTCAGCATTTGTTGATGGACACTGCCTTTTGATTCCAGCAGAGAGTACTGTGAACACACTGCTTGGTTTACACACTACTTGTTCACACCTTGGTGTGAATGGAACTTCATAGAATCAGTGAAATGGTAGTCTTTTTGAAAATCTGCTTTGTTATTGTATGTTGATCCCCTCTGTTATTCCAATTTTTCTTTTATATAAGAATGCACTAGATGAAATGTATTTTTAAATCATCACACAACTCCCTTTTTCCTGTTTGCATATTAATAATAATCCTTGCATTTGATATAGCACCTTATGACATCAAAAGGTCTCAAGGCACTTCACAGGTATCGTGACTTTGTACACAAATGCAGAAGCCACTTTCCATATAGCAATATCCTACAAACGGGCATGAAGTGAATGACCTATTTTTTCTGAGGGATGGTTGGCCAGGATGCAAGGAGAAATCCCTTTTCTTTTCAAGCAGTGTCCACCTGAACAGGCAGATGAAACCTCGGTTTAATGTCTCGTCTGACAGACAGCACCTCTGACAATGTGGTATTTTTCTACCGTTGTACTGGAGTGTCAATCTAGACTATATGAGCTGACGGGGGGGCTTGAATCCAAACTTTCTGAGTCTTAAGTCAAGAGTGCTAAAGCCTACGTCAGGTTGACACCTTCAAATTCAGTTACTACACTATAATAATACCAATAATAATAATAATTCTTGCATTTGATATAGTGCTTTTCACGTCTTCTAGACGTCTCAAAGCGCTTCACAGAATATGCTGTAAAGTGAATTGGCTGTTTATTTGTGGGTGAAACAACAACAACAACTTCGATTTATATAGAGCCCTCCACGCCAGAGGGCGTCTCAGAGCACTTTACAGTAACAGATCCCGGGGCCGAGCCAGGGGGAGGGGGAGGAAGGTGACCAAAGGCGCGGTCGTAAAGAAAGGTCTTCAGCAGAGACCTGAAAATGGGAAGGGGGGGAGCGAGACGAAGGGAGTGAGGAAGGGAGTTCCAGAGCCTCGGGGCATAACGGCTAAACGTTTGACGTGATGAAATGATACATCAAATGCAAGAATTATTATTATACTGTGGTACAAGCTTCAACATCATTCTGCTGTTTGTCTTGTACACACTCTACTTTTGACTGATAGACATTTCTTAATCACACTCTTATTAGGCTTCTTATAAAGTTCTTAAGTTTGTTCTCTCTCATGCATTTGTGTAATTACACAAATTGGAACAATGTTTAGAAACAGCATATTCCAGTTATTGTCTCCTTTCTGCATCCATTTCGAAAACTAGCGATCGTTGTATTACATGTTTAAAGTTGCGAATTCAGTTATAAACACACAATAAAATGATCATAGGTTTTAACCATTAGAGTCTCATTCAAGCCCTGAACTTTCTCTGGGTTATATCTGGATAGCGTTTATTCGAAAATAACCAATGGATTTTCACGATAGAGCAACAAGTTGTTGCTGTGAGCAGCAGAGTCCTACTTACTGGGGAAGCCCTAATGTTCCATCGCTGGTCTTTGCTGAGTTAGCGCTGGGTAGCAGTAGGAGCACTGCAGTTGACTTGGCACCCCCAAGTTAGCAGAACAATGAATGCCAGGATGCCTGATCCTGATCATTTTGCCCTACGCCCCCTGCCCCACAGAGTCAAATAGCCCAGCAATACTCACTGGCAAGGCTCACAGAATCCTGCTGGTAATAATAATAATAATAATAATAATAATCCTTGCATTTGATATAGCGCTTTTCACGTCTTCTAGACGTCCCAAAGCGCTTCACAGAATATACTGTAAAGTGAATTAACTGTATATTTGTGGACGAACGCGGCAGCCAATTGCGCACAGCAATGTCCCACAAACAGTCATGGATTGAAAATGACCAATTTATTATTGTTTTGTTTTTTGGAGGGATTATTATTAGGTGTGTGGAGTAAGGAAACTTGCCCAAGGTTTCGCCCTCTGCCTGGAATTGACCTCAAGTCTCTCACTTGCAAAGCGAGTGCTCTAACCACTGAGCTACAGGACTCCATGCCAATGGAACTGTAGAAATAAGACATGAAATGCTTTAGGGGAGACCATGGGCGGCTACATGTATCGCTGACAGAATTTGGTCCCAAAGGTGCTTCCTGAAGACTTGATGGTCACTCTGGAAATGTTTTCACGCACAGAATAGTTAGGATGTGGAATGCCGTGCTGGGAACAGTGGTTGAGGTAGAATCCATATTAGCATTCAAACGGGAATTAGATAAATACTGTTCCTAAAAAGGAATCGACTACAGGGGTGTGGGAAAAGGGCAGTTAAATGGGACTGAAGGATTTCTCTTTAAAAGAGCCAACTTGGTTACGGAGTAATATGCAGTACAAACTTTCTATGGTTCTAATGATATACCACACCCAGGAAATATAGTGCCTCCCCCTGCTGAGAATTGGACATTGATGTTGATCAACTGCAAGGATTATTATTGTTATATTATCATATGTTGCCAAAAATAGTAATCTTTTGTTGCATCTTTATAACAACAAAAAGATTGCTATTTTTAGGAATCATCTTATAATAATAATAATCCTTGCTTTTGATATAGCGCCTTATCACAGATAGATTGCAGGATGGTACAATACTGAGACAAACTTTTTAAGTTGTCTAGATTTTTTTATGTTGAATCACCTTGGTGAATCTTAACAACTTATTCGGTTTTAATAAAGTTGCAATAGGAAGATTTGTCTTATTTATGGAAAAAGTTGTGGTATAAATTAATGCTTATTCCTGATTTTGTCAGATATTATCAGAATTACAATACAACAAATACAAATTATTACATTTGGTGTAGAGCCTTTCATATTAGGAGGATGTTTCAAAGTATTTCACAGCATATACTGTAAAACATAGTGACTTTGTATTTGTATGTGAAGGCAGCAGCCAATTTACACACAGAATATCCCACAAACGGCCACGGGTGAGTGACCAATTTTATTTAGGGGATTGCTACCCAGAACACTGGGAGAAACTCCCTTCTCTTTTTTGTTGTTTTTGAATAATGCCATGGGAACTTTAACAGGCAGACAGGATCTCGATTTAATGTCTTGTCCTATTACTCGTATTCTTACTCTAAGAAAACCCAGGTCTTCAGGGCTCAGTGTCCAGATATTGTAGAGACAGATATTTTGTGGCACTTCATATAACTGCTTAACCACTGAGAACACAGACATGGTAGTGTGAGTACACAATCCTTGCATTTGATATAGCGTCTTATCACGTTATTCAGAGGTTTCAAAGCGCTTCACAGAAAATACTGTAAAATCAATTGACTGTGTATTTTGTGGGCGAAATGCAACAGGCAGTTGCTCACAGCAGTAAACCTCGACTGACAGATGAGTTGCGGATCTTCCACCAAAACTATCCAAATTGCTTTATGATAACATCCCCCCGAAAGGAGTGGTGGGGCGTGGGGTCAATTCATCTTCCCCGACTCTGCAACTGTATCCTAAGATGCAGAAAAAAATTTCATCCTATAAATCTGGATAGGTTTTGAACCCATGTGCCAGAGGTGAAATGTCAGCAGGTTGCATTATCCAGTCAGTATCTTAAGCATCTTTTGAATGTAGCGAACGCTCAGTTTGGATAACATGGTGGCCCATTATGTTGGTGCTGACCCTCAGTGCTCTAGACACCCCTAGTTCTTTGCGTGCTCAATTTCTTCTCACAAGCCAGGTTTGGATGAGGAAGACTCTACAACCCATTTTATCTTATTCTTCCAGAACAAACACCAATCCTACCTATCCCACCATCAAGCTGTGATCTCAGTTTCTGGTCAGAAGCCACCCACTTTTCCATAATAAAGGAGGGAAAGGGTCACGGACAGTCACCTTAACTATTCTGGGACCTCCCTGCAGTTAGATAGAGAGTGGCATAGGCAGAGGACCAGAAGCCAGTCACTGGAGATGAGTAAAGCAAACACTCAAAATGGCTTGTCCTTTCTTCCCCCTTCCTGTTTCTTTGTCCCCTCCCCCCAATAACAGCACTTTTGTAGGCCATTAACTGGTTCTTGATGCACTTTTTGTTTGCTGTCCACCTCCATTCTTGCCGTAGGTGGAGGTCACCAGATTTACAGGGTTTTCCATCTTGGCTCCAGTAAGCAGCCTCCTTGTGACTGAACCAATCTGGCCAGGTAATCCTGCTGTTGAATCAAGGCAACAACTCTGAAATATTCTGGCCAAGACCCAATCGCCGTGGTAATGTTAAACAGAAACTGACTGTGTTCAACGAGACCTATGTAATTGGTTCCAGTTGTGACTGTTGCAAACATGTCATTCTTATTAGCAACTGTGACCATGCTGGCAGGTGACTACCTTGTTTCTGGTTTGTGATCAGAGAAAGTCACCAGGCCAGTCTTCACTATGATTGTTTGTTGTTCATGGTTTTCTCTACCTTTCGTCTGTGAAACATGTTAATAAAACCAAACCCTTTTCTTCTTGTCCTGCAGGAATACAAGCATTTTGAATATGTTCTGAATAACGCTGACGATTTCCGTAAAGAGAAGCTTTTTGAATAAATCTTCTGCACTTGAGAGACTGCACTGAGGAAAGCAGAAAAAAAGGACGTTATTGTATTTTTAAACTATTTGCAGTTTCCTCCTCCTTCCTCACCTCCCTTCTCCTTTGCGGGCTCCTTTCCTTCAGCAGGGTGGGCGGGTGGGTAGGTCAGGCAGTCTGTACTGCATATTACTCCGTTACTGCCCATTCTTGACTACCAGTGTGGCACACAAATCCACGGTTGTTTGATTGCGAGGCAGGCAGACACTTTGTGGCCAGTAACTCCAGGCTGCCCAGACAGTTTCTGGTTTTATTTGAACTTAAATTTACTGCTGTTTTACTGTGGACCTGACAAGGGTGGCCAATTGTATTCACAGGAGGTCCACTTGGCTTGTTCAGCAAGGGATAGGATACTGCGGGGTGTGCGAACACTCCCAATCTGGATAAGAGAACTTCAGGGTTTTGTTCCAGTCGACGGGTCTAGGAAACACCTGACTTTGTCTCCATTGTTCAGCTCCACACCATAATTAATACTTCTGTCCACTTTCAATCATTAGTTTCTCAATCTTATGGATTCAATTGTGCTCAATTTAATTGAATCACCACCCCCATCCTTCCATTGCTCACTTCGATCTGTTTCTCCTGCTGCTTGCTTCCACTACCATTTTTGGCCATAGCTTCCCTTTTCCTCCATTCATACTTGCAATATCTATACTTTGTCCACTTTGGCTATTTACAACAACAGCATTACATTTGTATAGCGCCTTTCACGTCAGGAGGACGTCTAAAGGCGCTGGACAGAGTGCAGCATTTCAGACCCGAGCTGGGGCGGAGGGAGGGGAAGGGGGCTGGCCAATAGCTTAGTCGAAGAGGAGGATCTTGAGGCCTTTTGAAATTTACCTATCACATCCACCCGTTATCCTCCACTCTCTCTGTCTATTATTGCCCTCCACTAACTCATCTTTATCATCCTTGTGCCTTCTCTTGTTATCCTAAGTCATCCTTAATCTCACCTGAGCATGATCCTTGTCTCATCTGATATCCACACATGCACTTTGCAGCGGGAAGCACTAGGTGGCATTCAGAAGCAGCAGGAACAGTGCAAGGGAAACAGGTCAAATACAGCTCCATGAATGCTGTCCCGACTCAGGACATTTAACTCAGGGGTTATGCTTGAGATCTTACAGGCTTACAGAAGTGTTTAGTTTTATCAAATGAGGCATTGGAGCAACCTGGAGAAAAGTGTATATAGATTCAAATCTTTCAAATTGTCCCAAAACATACACAACACTTCAATGTTAAATAAAAAGAACAACAAAATTACATTTGTAAAGCGTCTTTCACATTGGGAGGACGTCCCAAGGCCCTGAACAGTCAGGTATCAGGACCCGAGCGTGGGGGGCAGGGCTGGGATGAGAGAGAGTAGAGGGGGTAGGAGGGCTGCTGAAGGAAACACCTGACTTTGTCTCCATTGTTCAGCTCCACAACACAATTAATACTTCTGTCCACTTTCAATCATTAGTTTCTCAATCTTATGGATTCAATTGTGCTCAATTTAATTGAATCACCACCCCCATCCTTCCATTGCTCACTTGCTCACTTACTCACTCTAACGGTAATCTTGATTGTCCAGCTTGCGACTGGTCACCCTGATAGAGAAAAGGCAAATAACTAATATGTTCCGCAGAATCTAAACAAACCAAGAGGGTAACCTGACACACAGTAAGACCTATCATCCATGATAGGCAGAAGCATGCAACACAGCCTAAAATTGTGACACAAACCATGAATTTCTGATATTTTGTACTTTATTTTGGGGGTAGTTTTTTGTTGCTTGCGTATGATTTTTTTTTGGAGTTCGACAACAAAACCTGCAGTTTGTGTGTGTTTGCACAATACCTTATTGTTAGACATACATAAATCAGTTGGAAATTCTGATGGTTTGGAATGGATTTTTTTTGTCCTAAACTGAATGTCATTTTACACTGTGAGTGCTTTACATTGAAGTGGTGGAATCATAAACATATTACATTAACTTCCATCTATTGCCTTATCTTACCTTTTCTGGTATTTATCCATTAGTGCAGTCAATGGGTGATGGTAGCTATCAGAATTCACAATACATCAATTATTGTATTTTTCCAATTGAAATATAATGATCTTCAGGATCAATAGACACATCACAAAACCTCCACTGGTCCTGAATCCGCATTATTTTAACAAACACACAATCTGCAGATTTTATTTTCAAACTCTGACGTCGAAATAAAATGCAAGATATTTTAATATTGGAAATTTCTAGTTAGGAACCTACAGCAGTGTATGAATCCTTCATTGCCTTCACCTATTTTCACCTCTAAATACACTATCACTGCAACTTACAGTAAAATCCTATGGAGCAGTTTAAGATATTTCAACAATGTGATAGGCACTGTCTGACTGCAGCTTGTCTCACTTACATAGATTCACTTCCTGTTGGGAACTGAGAGGGAATTCTGAAAAATATTTTTAATATAAGGTTCTAAAGATGTACTCTTTGGATGTTATGTATTAATAAAACCAAAACACAAATGTGTTTATATCACACTCCTACACAATACCTTATTACCTTCTTATATCTATAAGGGAGGTAGACTTTTTTTGCATTTTATGTCTACTTTGAAAATAACCTTAGCAACTCTCAATAAACATGTATTTTCATTTGAAAATTACCATTGACAAAACTGTCTATTCATGTGTCTGAGAGCATCATAATAATCCCATTCCCACAAAAAACATCAAATATCAAAAGTGTAAGCATTCATTCCTCCAGTATCTAATCAGTAGTGCACTTGATGTCTTTTCAACAGCTTTTCTAAAGTATGATTTGAGCATTTGTTTGCACCGCAGCTCAGAGGCCAACTTCAAGAGAAGCTGGGAGAATGATGTCTTCAGCTGGACTCACAGGAACTAGAGTCAGCAACTTTACTATTGCTACCGATGGCTGGCAGGTTTGTGCCTCCACCCCCCTTTTTTGCAATAAAGGGTTGATGTAGGAGGTTTAGCTGTCACACGGGAAATGTGTGAGTCGTCACACACCATTGGCAGTGATGATGGTTTTAATGGATGGATGATTACAGCTCGGGTGCCGCATTGACCTGTGAGAGCTGTCTGCCGTGAGTGACATCTGAGGTAGTTCTGGAAGCAGTAATGCCCTCAAAGCTCAGATATGGTGCTTGAAAGAAAAATAAAATAGTACTGTAAGATTTATGTTTTTCAAAAAATATTTAAAAATTATTCATGTGGTAACATGACATTAGAAAGAGCTGCCTGAATTCATAGATGATACAGCTCAGAAACAGACCATTCTGCCCATCCAGTCTGGCTGGTGTTTATGCTCCACACCAATTCCAGATCCTATCCCTAGTCCCATATCCTGGCTTTCTTTTCCCATATCCTTCAACTTTAGTTTCTCTTAATCATGTGTCTAGTCTTTTTTTGAATGTGCACATGGTTGCTGCACCAACAACTGACTGGGCAGAGAATTCCACACTCCTACCACTTTCTGTGTGAAAATTGTTTTCCTTATCTCCGTTCTGGACCTCTTACTTCTGGTTCTAAATTTATGCTCTCTAGTCCTAGACGCGTGATCAGCAGAAATAATCTTTCCCTGTCCACCCTATCTAAGCCTCCTGTGATCTTGCATACCTTTATCATATTCCCTCTCAGCCTTCTGAGCTGCAAAGAAAATAGCCCAAGTTTATCTAGACTGGTTTCCTCATTCCAGGCAACATGGTAGTAAATGTTCTCTGTACTTAACATCATTAAGGTGCTAGTGCAGTGGTAGCACTCTCACATCTGAGTCAGAAGGTGATAGGTTCAAGCCCCACATTGGGTCTTCGATTCACATAGTCTAAGCTGACACGTTCATTGTAGGAGTTGGCTTCCTTTGATGAGATGTTAACCCAACATCCAGTTTGCCTGTTTGGATGGATGTTAAAGTTCCCATTGTGTTACTTGAAAAAGAGAAGTGAGTTTCTCCCAGTGTCCTGGCCAAAGACCTTCAAATAAAAAAATTGGTCACTCACTCCATGGCTGTTTTGGGACGTCTCAATGACGTGATAAGGCACTGTATCAAATGCAAGGATTATTATCTTTTCAGTAATGAGGAGCCAAAAAATGCACATGTTATTCCAACTGTCGCCTGACCATTCGTTTTGTACAGATTCAACATGATATCCTTATCCTTATACTCTATTCATCTAGCTGAGTGGTGGCCAACCTTTTTGGTCGGCCAACAAAATAAATTTTCTTGATTGAATATTTATTAATTTATACTATAAATCAAGAAAAAACTGGAAATACTTTATTGATTGAACATGGACTTACCTAGACCTGTGCGAATGTGTGGCGGACCACTTCTGGCCTGGAGGCCATGGGTTCGCCAAAATTGATCTGGCTATAAATTACAAGATCTCACTGGCTTTTTTAATGGCTTGGCTTTAACCCTTGAGTGACCTGTGAATCTGTACTCCTGGATCCCTCTGTTCTACCCCTTTAAGATTTACCACTTTTTAGTTATAGGTACTTCTTAACTTTTCCTCCCAAAATGAACTATCTCACTTTTTTTCATTGAACTCAATCTGCCACTTATGTGCATATTGAACCATCCTATCAACCTGCATTTTGATCTTCCTTGGTATTTGCTAATCCCTCTACCTTTGTATGAAAGGACCAGCTTGTTTGAGGGTAGTGCAGCACGCTGGCTGGACACTTTTTATACAATTGAATCACGTTTCCGGGAGTAATAATCCCTTCAAAAATAAATCATTTGGTCACTCGCTGTATGACTGTTTGTGGGACACTGCTGTGCGCAATTGGCTGTTCGCCCACACATTAGTATACAGTCAATTCACTTTACAGCATATCCTGTGAAGCGCTTTGAGACGTCCCTAAGATGTGATAAGGCGCTATATCAAATACAAGGATTATTATCATTCTATTACATGCAAAGGCTTGGCTTCACCTCGTTTGAAGAATGAGATCCCCACTTTCAGATTATCTCATTACCAATCCCT